TGTGTAAGAAAAAAATTTAACATAGTATCTGTTATTCAAACAATAGAAAGAGGTGCCATTTACTGCTTACAGTGTATTTCAGAAATCAGTGTCTAAATTTAATTCAGAAATGTTGGCAACATACCTTCTTTTAATTCTCTAGATACATTATTCATCAGCTTCTTCTGCATCTGAAATAAGTCAAATATTATTTTTAATGTTTAAGTTAAACAAGAAACACTATCATAGGAATGACAGCTAGCTTATGAAATGTGGCCTTTAAATAATAATTTTAGAGACTTGACTTAACTTGGGGATTGCTTAAATAGAAAAATAGTCACATGAATAAAATAAATTCCTACTTACTTTGATTTTAGACAATAGAGAACACATATCTGTAAGGCTATTTAGATTCCCCCGATGAAAAGCACAGTAAATAAAAACCGCCCTGTCGGATACACATAATCTCAGAGGGCGATGCCCAATCGATCTTATTGGCACAAAGAGTTTCAACAACTCAAGTCATGTTTCACACTGAATGTATTACTCTGCAGTTCTTAGAAAAACTGCCCTTTATAAAAGCTAAGCTTTTTTAACTTTAATGGATCTTTCCTTACAATAAGCTTTCTTTCCATTCCTGCACTTTCAGAAAACTAAAATTTTAAGGTCTGTTCTACGCTAATGTTTTTAGCACAGAATCGTAGATACATAAAATGAAGAAAGGGGTTCTGTGTAATGTCAAGTGAAAATTCTACTGGCAAACAAGTTAAACAAATGTATCTTACTTTCTGTAGATGACTAAAATATTTATGTCAGAAAATCTGCTTGAAGAAAAGAAAAGGAGAGGCTAGCACCAGTTTTCAAAGTGGGTTTCTGATTCACAACTTCCTAGAGTTAGAAACAAGGAAAACAATACATAATTCTTTAACTGTAACTTTGTTTCCATTCTAGAAATTAAGGCCAACTTTTTGAAACTTGACTTAATTAGTTATGTATTTAATTATGAAATGTGTGGGGACATTTCAAACTACAAGTGTCCCCATCTAGAGTGTTCTTTTAAAAATCTTTCTTATAAAAGTCACCCGCTCACTAAACAGGGTCTAAAATAGTACACCAGACATAATAAACACTGTGGTGATAACAGCGACACGAGAGCCGAGGGCTTTGTAAATGTTAGGTGCAAAGACAAAATTTGGAGCTACCATTTGCCAGTATTTTCAGAGACTGTTTTCCGTAACACTGTCTGACAAGAGCATTCTGGAGAGGCCTTATGCCATCAACAATGTGACAACGGTGCCAGGCAGGTCCTGTGAGGTGAAAAACGCCTAGCAGATGAAGGGAGAAGCCTTGACTGAAATAATCTCATATAACCATTAATAAACACTATGCAAAATGTAGATCACACTTTTACATGAGCTGAATGTAAGATTACTCTCTTTTCCTCCGCAAAGCTATTTTCCTAAATAGGTACCTCTGGGACCTTTATGTTTATTTCTAGGTGAGGACCCCCATGTCCAGATGGTGGAAATGGTCTGAAGTCCAACATTAATAAGGATAAGGCACCTGCAGTTTTACTTAAACTTTTCCATTTAACAAAAACACAGGAAAGTGAGAAAGTTATACACAGGAAGACAACGTATCAGCAAGTTTTAATTCCAATGATTTTTAGTTAGGAGGATTCTCTCGTAACTGGCAGTTTGCAGACTATGTCCCATTGAAATGGAAGGTCCCACTGGGGACACTGCAGGATTGAGGTCAAAACTGAGGTCACAGGCTGGAAGATAATGCTGCCCTCTCTTTCCGAGATCAATTTGATAAAAACAGACTTGCCACACACGTATACACACATGTTCATTTCCGAAGTGAATATATTTTCAGATTATTGATACTTTTAAGTTAAAACTTGTCCTATCATTCTTATTTTAAATGTTATAAAAATACATACAATTCCCAAAATGTAATAAAATCAAGTCATTTAACCACTCTGATTCATTATCCTGTTGTAAATAGGTTAATGTATGAAGGAAATGACACTTGTCAGTTTGTAACTATTAAATACATGTATTTTGCTGCAGAGAAAAGAAATGAGAAAGAATTTGTTGATCAAGGAGCTAAAAAATTAAGTACAGAGAAAACAGTGAATGAAAGAAAAAGAACTGGAGGAAGTTGAGCGATAGGCTTTCAAAAGATAACACGCTTCCTCAT